AAGACGAAACGACACCCGCGTCTTATTTTATAGTTACAATTAAAACATCAAATATGCATTCAACATTTATTTTGTTGTTGTTGTTTTTTTAATTATAAATCATTGCATTTAAGGACCATCTCTACACTATTGCAAAATATTTTTTTTGACATTGAGAAAAATTTATTGCTTAAAGGAGTTAATATTGTGCTTATATGTATGGAGCGTGGCATTTACATCTGGGAAAAATATTCAAAGACAACACAGTATCAGCAGAGACATATAATTTTATGTCTCAGGTATCAGTGAAAAGATATCGCTGTTAATTACTTCAGTAGAGAAAAAACATGTAAATCACGTGTTCAGTTAATTTATCCTGGCCTTTTAAAATGTTGAGAATACTTGAATTGATTACAAATTGAGTAATATTGTGTAAAAATATTTTTATATTAGAATTTAGTTCTAAGGGCAGATCACTCTAACTGCAGAAAAATACCTTAGAATCAGAACTCTTCAGTGTGCAGTGTACAGAGGTTTCTTAAGGCAGTGTTATGAATAAATCAGCGATAGAGTTCAGTTTAAACCCTTAAGGTACTTGGACACACATTTGAAGTTAATTTTCTCTGTATAAGTTCACGAATTATGTATTTGAGTAGCATTTTACACAAAAATTAATTAAAATCTTAATTCATTAAAAAGATATTAAAACTTCTAATTTTTTGACGGGTTTGATTGACACATCCTTTTACTTTCACAATTTTTAATTTTTAAAGTGGCAATTTTTTGTATTATTGAGAAATATTAAAACTTAAATCCAGAAAAATGATTGTATTCAGAGTAGAAATGTTAGAAAGCAAAACTCTTTCTGTGGTGTACAGAGTCTAGCAAATGGAGCACACTTATGTTACATGTATGTACACAGTTTTTTGAGTTGGCTCGCGTAGCGAGCTACTCCCTGTTGACATAGCCGTTTCAGAGCTGTAAAATTTTTCACGCATTCATCAAGGTGATCCATACGCCAAGTATAATAGTTCTAGCAAAAAATGCTTTGGTTTGAGTGATTGTATAAACTTGAGAGGTAAAAACTGTATAAAATTTCATACTGTAACATTATTTATGCCTTCATGCTTTTAAAGAAATTTTTGACTAAATACCTGTACGATGTTCAATTACTGATGTACAATTACTGCGTATAAATATATGTTCAAGTATGTTAGGCGGATCTAATCTTCCCATCTGAAGTTTATTTATAATTGACCTAGAATACTCCCTAACACAAACACCTGCTGATCTCATTAGCTGCAGCTAGTTGTTGTTGAAAATCTATTTTTAGAATCCAGATTTGCTTTGGGAATCTTTAACCTAATTATTCCATAACACTGACCACTTCAGCTAATGTGCTGAAATTCATTGTAGAATCCAGTCAAAATAATACGGAAGCCCATTAGTGCCAACCTGTATATATAAAGGAAAGCAATATACACTTTATTTATGAACCGAACATGGATCAGACATATAATATTCAATCTATTAAGATGCAAAATAAACTGAATATATTAAGGTATGGTGCCCAGATGTATGAAAAAGTGCAATTGACTCGAGCGAGTCAACTCGCAGGCCCTTCAGGCCTTTGATTGTAAACTAAGCAAGAGCCTGTTTTGTTTTAATGTTTACAATTCACCGGGTGCGTTTAAACGCCAAAGTTTGCTCACCACAACTGCATGGACTGACAATATATTGTGTGCTTATTTTTCTTTCGAACATGTCTATTCTGATTTTCTTGGATTTTAGTATTATTATTTTTCATTAATACAGAACAAGATTGCCATTTTCCAAAGGATTAAGAATAAAATAAAAATTTGTGAAAGTTCAAGGACGTGTCAATAAAACCTGCCAAAAAAATGAAAATTTAAATAACTCATAAATGAAATAAGATTATTATTAATTTTTGTGTGAAATTCTATTAAAATGTATAGGTCATAATATAATAGAAAAAAATTAACTTCAATCTGTGTTTAAGTATCTTTAAGGCCATAAGAGAGTCATCCATTGAAGCTAAAATTTTTATGACATTTTCATTAATTCATCAGGTCCATCCCTAACACTTTCTAAATACATAACTATGAGTAGCTACATGGTAACTTGGTATTTATACCTGGACAAAGTAGCTATTTTTACTTCTTTTTTGCTTTACTTACGCTTACTGGTGAAATGTAGGAATGACGCAATATAAAGAGCAGCTATTTTCTTGATACAGTCATACTGTTGATCAATAAGTCAAACTTTTGACATTTTTATCTTACTTTGTAGATTTGTATTTCTATGTAATCAAATTGTAAATTATAAAATAATAATTTTCTTGCTTAATATTTTTGCATTTATCATTTGTATGACTGCATTTTTGAATTTGCTGCTCACAATATTGTGCTGTTCTTGATTTTGACTAAAAAATCTACGTAAAACAAAAAGTACTTAAAAATATCTACTTTGAGTTGGTGTTAAATATCTATGTAGCTATAAGAAGCTGCAAACTGTGAAATCATAAAAAAATTGTGGTGATTAAATTTTCATTGTTTTAAAGGTATGTCAAGACATGCCGCTATGAATTGATGTCAACCACAAGATTTTAAATGATACATAAATAAGAACTTGTTTATTCTTAATCCATGAAATCAAAAACCCACAAACCAAGGTCAAAACTAATAAAATGTTTGTTTACTAGCCTAGATGTTTAGGAATGGGTAGGTTGGTAGGAACATTTTTTTCTACTGGACTTCAAATGAAATAAATATTAAAATAAAAAAAAACTCAATATGTTCATGTTCATATATTATGTATCTATAAATATTCTTTGTTATTGGAGCTTGTACTTCAAGAAACAAAATGTCTTAGTACATTTGGAAATGTTTATTAATGTTAACAAAAGTGTTATTGAAAAGTAGAATAAGATATTTTGAGTTGGTCTAATTTTCATGGGTCGGTCAACTAAGGGCAAACAAACAAAATTGTAATTTAGGCCAAAGAGATTTTTGCAAACTTTGAAAATTTGTTATTTTGTTTTTTTAAAATTTGTAATTGTTATGACCCCCGGGGGTAGGGCGGGGCCAAAATGGCCGATCAAAGTTTTACATAGAAATATATAGGAAAATTCTTTTAAAATCTTCTTCTCAAGAATAGCCTAGCAATAATTGATCATATTTATATGGAAGTATCCTCAGGTATTGTAGATTCAAGTTTGTTCAAATCATGACCCCTGGGGGTAGGGCGAGGCCACAATGGCTGACCAAAGTGTTACATAGACATATATATAGGAAAATTCTAAAAATCTTCATCTCATGAACAGCCAAGTCATAATTGATCATATTTATATGGAAGCATCCTCAGGTATTGTAGATTCAAATTTGTTCAAATCATGACCCCGTGGGGTAGGGCGGGGCCACAATGGCTGACCAAAGTTTTACATAGAAATATATAGGAAAATTCTTTAAAAATCTTCTTCTCAAGAATAGCTAAGCCATAATTGATCATATTTATATGGAAGCATCCTCAGGTTGTGTTATTCAAGTTTGTTCAAATCATGACCCCCAGGGTAGGGTGGGGCCAAAATGGCCGACCAAAGTGTTACATAGAAATATATAGGAAAATTCTAAAAATCTTCATCTCATGAACAGCCAAACCAAAATTGATCATATTTATATGGAAGCATCCTCAGGTATTGTAGATTCAAGTTCGTTCAAATCATGACCCCCGGGGTAGGGCGGGGCCACAATGGCCGACCAAAGTTCTAGATAGAAATATATCGGAAAATTCTTTAAAAATCTTCTTCTCAAGAATAGCTAAGCCATTATTGATCATATTTATATGGAAGCATCCTCAGGTTGTGTTATTCAATTTTGTTCAAATCATGACCCCCAGGGTAGGGTGGGACCAAAATGTCCGACCAAAGTGTTACATAGAAATATATAGGAAAATTCTAAAAATCTTCATCTCATGAACAGCCAAGCCATAATTGATCATATTTATATGGAAGCATCCTCCGGTATTGTAGATTCAAGTTTGTTCAAATCATGACCCCCAGGGTAGGGCGGGGCCACAATGGCCGACCAAAGTTTTACATAGAAATATATAGGAAAATTCTTTAAAAATCTTCTTCTCAAGAATAGCTAAGCCATTATTGATCATATTTATATGGAAGCATCCTCAGGTTGTGTTATTCAAGTTTGTTCAAATCATGACCCCCAGGGTAGGGCGGGGCCAAAATGGCCGACCAAAGGTTTACATAGAAATATATTGGAAAATTCTTTGAAAATCTTCTTCTCATGAACAGCCAAGCCATAATTGATCATATTTATATGGAAGCATTTTCAGGTAGTGTAGATTCAAGTTTGTTCAAATCATAACCCCCGGGGGTAGGGCGGAGCCACAATGGCCGACCAAAGTTTTACATTTCTAAGCCAAGCCATGAATGATCATATTTATAGGGAAGCATCCTCAGGTAGTGTAAATACATGTTTGTTCAAATCATGACCCTGGGGGGGGGGGGGGGGGTAGGGCGGGGCCACAATGGCCGACCAAAGGTGCTCAGGTGAGCGATGTAGCCCATGGGCGTCTTGTTCTATTTGTTATCAACTTTAACATTTGCCATAACTTTTGAAAAGATTGAGATAGAGACTTCCTATTTAAAATGCATATTCCACTAAATAAGCACTTTCAACTGACATCAAAGATAATGACTTTTTGACCTTGACTGTGACCTATATTCTAAAAATAGATTTTTCGAACTTTCGGTATAACTTTTGAACCATAGGAGATAGAGACTTTACATTTGGTTTGCTTACTTCACTAATTAAGTGCTTTCAAACCACACCGAGGTCAATGATCTTGTGACTTTGACTGTAACCTTTATGCTAAGAATAGCTTTTTTGAACTTTGTTGCCACCAGGGGCACAGTGTTTCACAAACACATCTTATTCTTTAGGGCAGTTCTAGTAATCTATGGCATATTATGAATGTTTTTTCAGATGGCAAAGAGAAAGAAAATGTCTACAAGACAGCGAATGCTACAAGACAAAATAAGAAAAAGAGAACAGAGGCAAAAGCCTGCAGGGACTTTGCAAGATGATGTTTCAGCTTTGACACCACAACAGTCTGCTGTTCTCTGCGGGACAGTAGATGGAGCTGATTCAGCTCCTCCCGGTAATTTTCCGGGGCTTGGTTCGATGGGGTTTCCACCTAAAGAGGAAAAACCCCTGGCCAGGGTGCAGGCCTCACCTCGAGTGAAAATGCATTCACCTGCCCCGAGGTTGTCACCTCCTCGGGGAAGTCGTCTGTTTGTCCATGACGAGGGCAAGGCACCGTCCACTGACTCCCCACCGTGGGTTTGTGCTCCACCGAGGGCACCTGGATCGGACATAGTGCATATGTCTGATCCAGCAGGACAGGCGCAGCTGGATACCTCCAGGATGGAGGAGACCAGTAGAATATCAAAAGATGAGGGAACTTTAACGAATACTAAACAGGAATCTAAACGAATATACAATGGAAACTTGAACGAAAAACCTGATATTATAGAAAGTATAAACAGAGAAACAGATATGTTGGAGACTGTAGATAGTATGTTGGATTTCAGATATGATAAAGAGATCATGGAAAATGTCAGAAAGTCAAATGATGAAACTGAAGATAAGGAAGAAATGAAGGAAACAAATGTAAGTAAGGATTTTAGAAAATGGAGTGAGGAAGGAAGTTGTGAAAGTTTGTACACTGTATCTGTCCAGGGCTCTTTCCATCAAGCTGATCCTATGTTTGGTGACACTGCAGGAACTCAATGTGTAGCAAATTGTTTATCAGGTTTAGCTTATCATGTTCTGAAAAGTGCAAATATCTGGCAAACATCTGATGTCAACAAAGTTTTAGTGAATGGCGATGAACTTTACACATACTTGCAGAACTGCTCTTCAATTACAAGTAGATATTTGTTAGTGGAAGAGTTACCACGGTATTTTGAATGTTTTAGCAACACATTTGACTTTACAGTGAAGGTCTCGGTACCAAGTTTAATCAGTCTATCAGAGGAGGAGCCATGTTATGAAGATTTTAATGCTTATCCTCTTTTTGAAGCTCTGCAGATAGCACTTACCGATACAAATGGGTGCTTTGTGTGTTTCGGAGGAAATACCCTTTTAATAGGGAAGACTAATGATGGGTTTTTCACATTTGATTCACATGCACGATGCCCTCGTGGATATCTTAGTGTTAGAGGAAAGAGTACAAGAATTTTATTGACGGATGTTCAGGATGTGTACCTGCATCTTAGAACACTGGCTGTTTCTATGGGTTTTTCAAATACTGTTGCAGTTGAATTAACTGGGGTGTTGTGTTCACTTAAGCATTTTGACACTGCAGAAGTGTATGAGGTTAAAGGATTTGAAAAACATTTGGAGGGATTGAAAGATTCTGGACAAGGTCTCTTGATATCAAATCAGTCAGAAGCTAAAGAAACAGGCTTGAAAGGTTCAGAGCAAGGTGGGTTATTGTCAGATCAGTCAGTAATATTACAGGGTAATGATGTAATCGTTATGGGTGAGGAATTCCAACAACATGATTTTATTCCTTTGTCTGTTGAGAAACAAAGGGAATTGTGCAAAAAGTTGGGAGTACCATATTGTGTTTCTGCACATGAATACCATGCAGGATCTGTGGAAGACATGGATAAACCCAGAAACTGTAAAGATATTGAGCAAGATGGAAATTGCTTTTTTAGGGCAGTATCATTCAGCCTAACAAACTCTCAGAACTATCATCAACATATTCGTGAGGCCGTTTGTCAACATCTCCTGAACCATGAAACAATGTTTCAACAGTTTATGAGGTCAGAGGGATCTATAAGGTCATACTTACTTCACTGTAAAATGTCTGAAATGGGAATATGGGCTACTGAGTTGGAGATTCTTGCTATGTCACATATGTTGAATGTAGACATTTATACTTATTCAGATATGAAATGGCTTCAGTTTAGTGTAAAAGGGCCGTACACTGAATCTTTTGAACAGAAGGAAGCTATTTATTTATTCCACAGACAGCAGAACCATTATGATGTTGTTTTAAGTGTTACAGCAAGGCTAAATGAAAACGAATGTGTCACCCAAAATTGCTCTCTTAAAAGAGAATATAATCTGCGCAGAAACAAAAAAGTTCGAATGAGAGAGGAACGAAAAAATCTTGAATTGAAAAAAACAGACTTGAAGGAAAATCGCAAAGATGCAGTAAGGAAAAGATACAAGGAAAATGAAAAGTATCGAAAGGAAATGTTGAAGCAGAAGAAAGATATGTACTCAAATTCAGACTTTAAGTTGAAAGCACAGATAAGGAACAGGGAACGATATCATTCTTCACATTCAGTGCAGATGGCAAGTAAAAGTAGAAGTAAAATGAAGTATTCTACAGACTTGAAACATAGAGAAGGAAAGAAAATAAAGAGTGTTGAGAAATATAAGTTGGATTCAGAGCACAGAGAAAAGGTGAAAGGAAAGAGTAGAGAAAAGTACAATAAAGACTTTGAACATCAGGAAAGTGTGAAGAAAGCAAGCATTGAAAAGTACAAAAAAGACTTTAAACACCAGCAAAGTGTGAAGAAAGCAAGCATAAAGAAGTACAAGACCGACTTGGAACATCAGAAGAATGTGAAGAAAGCAAGCATAAAGAAGTACAAGACCGACTTGGAACATCAGAAGAATGTGAAGAAAGCAAGCATCAAGAAGTACAAGACAGTCTTGGAACATCAGCAGAATGTGAAGAAAGCAAGCATCAAGAAGTACAAGACAGACTTGGAACATCAGCAGAATGTGAAGAAAGCAAGCATCGAGAAGTACAAGACAGACTTGGAGCATCAGCAAAGCGTAAAAAGAAGAAGCAGTGAAAAGTACAAAACCAATTTGGAGCATAAAATTATTGTAAAGCAGAGGATCTCAAAAAGATACAAACAAGATCAACTTTACAGAGTGAAAAGTAATGCTGCCTTCGTACGTAGATACAAGACAAATGAAACCTTTAGAACAAATGTGCAAGAAAGAACTAAAGGGAGGTATCATACTGAAAGAGAATATCAGTCTAAAGCGAAGGAAAATAGTAAGGCTAGTTATCAATCATCTGCTGAAGTTAGAAAGAGGAAAAAAGAGGAAGTTAGACAGAAAAGGAGACTGAATCAAATGAACGTGAAACAGGAAGAGGATATTGTCAGATTATTTAAGGAAAAGGCCAAGGAAGGTCCAAATTATGTTTGTACATGTTGCCACAGGCTTTTCTTTCAAAATCAGGTTCAAGCCTGTGAACATCAGATGTATCATAAAAGTGAATCAGCAAAAACTATCTCTGAGATTTGTTTGATTGATAAGTATTTGCATGAATGTTCTGAATCTTGCCCAGAATCGTGTACTAAATCATCATTATGGATTTGCTACACTTGTCATAGGAAAATTATGAGTGGCAAGGCTCCTGCAGAAGCTGCAGCCAACAGCATGATTCTGGAGGACATTCCATCTGAATTGACTAATTTGAACAGTTTGGAACAGCATTTAATTGCAATGCACATACCATTTATGAAGGTAATGGCTCTACCCCATGGTGGACAGAAAAATGTGCATGGGCCTGTTATTTGTGTACCTTCAGATATGAGAAAAACTGCCAGTTTACCAATGCAACAGAATGAGAACTTGTTATTGCGTGTCAAATTGAAAAGGAAGTTGAATTACAAGGGCTACTTTGAGTATCAGTTTGTAAATACAAGTCATGTAATGTCAGCTTTATCATACTTGAAAGAGAATAATCATTGGTATAAGGATTTGAAAATTGAATCATCTGTGGAAGAGGATGTAATGATTCATGAAGAAATGACGGAAGAAAAAGTTGAGACAAGAGATACTACAGAAATCTCAGAGGAAATGATTGCATTTGACACATGTTTACAGCCAGTAGATGTTGCCCAGGAAGTTTTAGATCATTATTTTGATGATGTATACAACATTGCACCAGGCGAAGGGAAAAACCCAATTCGAATGTTACAGGAACCTGGCAATGAAGCTAAAGCATTTCCATGTCATTTTCCAAGTGGTCGTTTCTCATGGAATGAAGAAAGGTCAGAAAAACTAACTCTTTCCAGGTATTTCAATAATAGGCTAATGAATGCAGATGACAGATTCGCAAAGGATACCAATTACATTTTCTTTAGCCAGTACATGTCCGAACTGAATCAAGTGATTGAAAAAACTCAAATTTCACTTAGGAAATCTTTATCAAAATGGACGAATGGGAAACCAGTGACAGTAAATATGCTACAAGATCCAAGTTCTCTCTCGGGCTTGCTGAGGAATGATGATGCAATAAGATTTATGCGGCCAATAAGAGGAACACCGGCTTATTGGGCAACAGCTCAGAAAGACCTGTTTGCTATGCTGCGGCAATTAGGAATCCCAACTTGGTTTTGCTCGTTCTCTGCAGCAGAGTACAGATGGAATGATGCTATCACAGCAATACTGCAACAACAGAACGATAACAGAAATCCTGCGGAAATGGAATGGTCGGAAAAGAATGAAATTCTAAGGTGCAATCCAGTCACTGTGGCTAGGATGTTTGAACACAGATTTCAAATATTTCATAAGGAAGTCATACTTTCTCCTGCAGAACCAATAGGGAAGGTAGTCGACTTTTTTCAAAGAGTTGAGTTCCAGCAGAGAGGATCTCCACACATGCATTGTTTATACTGGATTGAAAATGCACCAAATATTGAATCTGATGGCGAGGAAGTTGTATGCAACTTTATTGACAGATATGTTACATGTGCTGTACCATCTGAAAGTGATGATTCTGAATTGAGAAAAAGTGTTTTAGATGTACAACAACACAGCAAGAAACATTCAAAGTCTTGTAAAAAGAAGGGAACGGAATGTAGATTTAATTTCCCAAGGCCTCCATCTCAAATTTTCCTGCAGGGCGATTACAACAGCAAAAAATATTTTCCTTTTTAAATTTTACGCTATTCCTTCAAATTCATTTGGAAAAAGGAAAATTTTAAAAAATTCTTCCATTTTAAATAAAACCCAAACCCCCCCCTTTAAAAACCCAAAACTTTTTATGAAAAAAACGAAACCCTAAGTGCATATTTTTGTTTTTTCCCCCGGGTCTTAACCATGTCTCTTTTAAAACAAATAATTCAGCCTTTAACCTGGCATCATTTTGTATCTAAAAGGGCTGCAAGCTCTGTTGTTTGGAACTATTTTCTTCCCCAGGAAAGTAAAGTTTTTAAAATTCACAAAGTAACTTTGGCATTTCTTAATGTTTCTTTACTTCTGGTAGCATAAAATTTTTCTGTAATCGAGGGGATCCTGTATCAATAAATAACCGGCCTTTAAAGTAACCCTTGACAACACAAAAGTTTGGGCCTGGGAAAACTTTATCTAAATTTACCACAACTTTTTGTTGTCACCCTTGCACCTTATGAGCGTCATGCCCAAGAAACCGGATGGAAATTTTGTCTTATCGTTTTTCCTTTCCTTCATCTCTTCTTTACTCTTTCTATGAACACTAGTTTCCATTTCCTTGTCCTTGTCCTGACTTCTTCCCAACTTCCTTATTATCAAAAATTACTCCCAAGTTTTAAAAATTCTTCACTGTTTTCTTCAAAAAAACTGACAAATATGCCCCATTACTCCATTACGAGCCATCTTTCCCCATTGCATTTTTTTAGCATTACCCTTGCATGGACGGGCAATAAAAGACTTGGAAGGCCATCCTTTTGTTTGTTAGGGTTTTTTTCAAGTATCAGTTTCCCCATGTTTGTCCTTTTTTAATCTTGGCTCAATTTCCAATAAATCTTCACAAGATTCTTCAACATTGACAATTGAATGTTTAACCTCCTCATTGGGAGAAAAACATGAAGAACTCTTCTGGCCTTTCCCTGATACAGTCTTCTAACATAAACTTTGCCCTGTGTCAAGGTTCATCTCTTTCTCTTACACGAAGGGAATTAAGAACCTCAGCAAAAGACAAATTTTCTTTTTGTCTCATTATCCCTTTTAATTCAATGACCTTAAATAATCAGCCAGTAGCCCATGGGATAACTCATATTTTCTTTGTAAAGCCTTTCATTTTTCCCCTCTTAACGGGGGGGCGGGAAAAAAGTCCCCAACGGCAATAACACAAACCCCTCCAAATGGTTCTTTGCATTTCTTAATCTGCCCCAGCCTTTAGTATTATAGAGGAGTTTTTTTAAAAACCATTGATATTTCATCAATGTTTGGGATTTTGGAAGACCCCCCTATCTTTACTCTCAATTCACTGAGACTTTGTTCTCCAAGTGGTTCAAAAGGGAAAAGGGGAAAGATATTTTGTTAATGAAAATAAGTGGGGGAAGTGTATTTCCCCCCAATGTTGAAAGCCGCCGTTCCTGTGAAGCCCAAGAAACGGGTACCCTTCGGTTCAGTATTATTCTTTAAAGAAACGTGATGTTTTATAATGAATTGGGTTTTATGAGATGGGCTTTTACCAGTTCCTGCACCTCCAGTTTAAAATAAATGTAAAGGGGTTTACTTTTCCCCTGCAATCTTTCCCAAACCCCCTTGCGCACCAAGGGAAAATATTTCACTCTGGTTTTTATTCAAATTTTGAAGAACAGGTTCATTTCCCCTCTTGAAATTAAATTTTTTTGAACATGATACATGACATCCGCATTATGTGTCTCATTTTTAAAATCCGGTAAAATATCCCAATATTTTCCCCCTTAGCATTTTCTTTTCTCTGTGCTATACCCTTTCCCCTTTTAAAAACCTCTGTTTCTGGGCATATTCTGGCCATGCATCCTTTTGGGGTTTACCATTCATCTCATATGCCTTTCCCGAGCATTTTCAATAAATCTTCATTTTTTGCATAACCCTGAATGATTGAAATCCACAATTTATTTTACCGGGTTCTTTTTTTTCTGCCAGTTTTACATCCCGAAAAAAACCCCAATTTTTCAAATTTGGTTTCAAGGGTCTGTAAAGGGGGGAAAAAATTAGAGAAAAAATTTTTCTCATTTTTAAAAAGGGGATACTTTCAAAAATTTTTTTTTTCAAAAAACCCCTTTCCCTTTTGAATTTCAAAACATTTTATTTTTTCTGGAAATTATACAAGCCTCTAAAAAAAAAAGAAGCACTTTCAGAAAATGGTTATCGGGGTTTTTTTTTTTTAAAATTTGTAAAATTTCCCCATTTTTTCCTTATTCTTTTTTTTGGTTTTTAAGACTAAACCGGTTAAAAGGTTTTTAAAACCTCAGAAAACCACTTTTCTTTTTTCCTTTGTTAACTCAAATTTCTGTTAAAATTTCTGTAAAATTGCGGAATTGCCATTTAGGGTCGGGAAAATTTTTCCCCCGGCCAATTTTGGGTTTATAAAACCCCTTTCCCTTTTTTTATTTATATAAAATTAAAAAATAATTAGACAACTGTATTTATTGATCAGTTTTAAAGGTTAAGGTGCAACATTTGAAGCGAAGGTTAATTTTTTTTTAATAAATTTTGGGATTTGTACATTTCCCTGGAAAAAGACCAAAAAAAAATTTTTTATATTTTCTTATTATCCAAAATGAAATCTTTTTGACCTTTTGTTAAAAATTTTTTTACAACTATTACTTTGTAAAATTTTTAAAGCTATCGGAATTAAACCACATGTTTTTTTCAAAAATTTTCTTGGGTTTTGACAAAACTTTTTAATTCAAGAATTTTAGGGAAACTGTAATAAAGCAATAAGTCCACCTTAAAAGATTAGGTGCATTTTCAACCATAAAAAATTTATGGGTGACCCCTTCTAAAACAAATTTAAAATTTTCCATTGTTTATTGTGGAAAGACCCTCCTTGAAAATTTGAATTCAAACATTCTCCATGAAGGAATTAAACTTTTTTTTTGAAAAAATTTATCGTTTTTGTTTTATTTTGTTAAATAC